ATAAACTTTGGGGGGGTGCGGATAGAATTATTTCACAGATCTTACCTTATGGGGAGGGAATTATGATCCAGATACCATGTCAAAACCCAATTCTATATAGAATATCAAAGAAATAAATTCTTTGTTAGATACAAGGGCTTGAACTCAGGGCTTGAACACCATCTCTTAGCTTTTTCACTCAAGTCAAGTGCTCTACCACTTGAGCTACAGCTCCTTATCTTTTTGGTAGCTAGTTTGAGATAAGAGTCATGGATTTTTCTGTCCAGGCTGGCTTCAAACCATAATCCTCAGATCTTAGTCTTCTGAGTAGCTAGGATTACAGACCTGAGTCACTGGTGCCCAGCTAGAAGTAAGCTTTTTTTAAAATTTAAAATAATCTACTATACTGAGTATGAGCAAGGAAAATGAACCTTGATGGATTTTTATTTTTAATGCCCCCTTCAGAATACGTTAAAAATTCTGGTTCTGGATAGGATGGAGTGTTCCAGGCCTTCTTGCTCTCCCTATAGCTAAACAAAAACAAGAAAAGAACAAAAACAAATCCTACCATGGATAGAACTTAACTAACACAGGAGGATCTAAAGATGGAAGAAAAGGTAGACTTTCTAACGATCTTAGGAATTGAAGAAAGATATGGTGGGTGGTTTCTAGGTTTTCTTTTTGCCTCCTATAGGATGCTAAAGAAGCTTGCATCAGGAGACCACCAAGAAGTACTGACAAAAATGTCCCCCATTTGCATTCCTAGCAATCTTTTTTGGCTTTGTTCTTGGATACAATTAAGCTACTTGAAAAACAAAAGGTTGATCCTTCTGGATCTTTACTTGTATGATTGATTATGTAGATTTAGAGAAATGTTCTATCTAGAGCTAATTAATCCTGACTACTGAGGTACAAACTTCTTCAATACTATACCCAGCAACTTACAATTTCTACATTCTCAATCTAGTTTTTCTAGATGCATTATTCTTTGTCTTGCATGAATGGTAGGCATGGTTTCATAGTCTGATGTCAATAGTTCTTTTCAGTTTTGGTAGTTCCTTCACATGTAAGCATCTAGTATTCTTCAGACTATTCAAAGATGATCTCCTTCAGATCTCTTGGAATTTCTACTGCAGCTCTCTTCATTTTGGTATTCTGTCTTAAGAAGTCTAGCTGCCTTGGTCTTCCTGAACTCCTTATCTCAGGGAGCTCATTGAATATTTGAGTTCTCTCTCCTTTGCTCTTCTAAGGTAGTAAACACAGGCAGTTTTTGGCTCGTTTCACTTGCTCAGAGATTATTGTCCTTTGTTGTCTGGTATCCAGTGTCTTTAAAATCTGTTTCATAATTATACCACAGTGCACAGTAACAAAAGCATCAGTGTAGCAGCACAAAGACAGACTTGTAAGCCAATGGAATAAAATAGAAGCAAAATAAAATAAGCTCACACAGAATAAAATAAGCTTACAGCATCTGATTTCAACAAAGACACCATAAACATACAGTGGAGAAAAGGTAGGTTTTTTCCCAACACTTTTGTTAGGAAAACAGTTTCAGAATAATTGAGTTATATGAGGTAAAATGGAAGCCCCTGGAATTTTTAAAAATAGGTCAAAGAACTATGAACCCTTAATGTTACTGGTTTTTAACCATGAATGAGAATTACTCCAAAAGTGACTACAGAGGCAATAAAAAGATGCAGAGCCAAAACTTTTTTTTTTTTTTTTGTCAGTCATGGGGCTTGAACTCTGGGCTTAGGCGCTGTCCTTGCACTCTTCAGTTCAAGGTGAACGCTCTACCACTTGAGCCACAGCACCACTTCCAGGTTTCTAATGGTTTATTGGAGATAAGAGTCTCACAGACTCTTTCCTGCCCAGGCTGGCTTTGAACCCTGATCCTCAGATCTCAGCCTCCTGAGTAGCTAGGATTATAGGCATGAGCTACAGGTGCCCGCTGCCAAAACAATTTTTTTAGTGGTAGGAAAATTTATTAGTAAAGGAGAACACTTCCAATAATAAGAATATACATTTTGTTATTGTTATTGCTGTTTTATTTTGCTTTGGGCCCCTTCCTCCCTCCTTCCTTCATTCCTTCCCTCTCTCCCTTCTTTCCTTCCTTCCTCCTTCCTTCCTTTCTTGCTTTTTATACAAGCTGATCCTCCTCCCTCCTCCCTCAGTCTCAAGTGCTGAGTTTTCAAATATGTGTCACCACACCGGTCTGGACTATATAATCCACTAAATAAAAAAATTTGAAAAGTTTTGAATTCTTTTAAAGCAAGAACTATTTTGTTCATCTTTGTCTCTTTATATATGGCACATTTGGAACACAGTATTTAGTTTATATTTGTTGACCAAACTGACCCCATTGACCTTCTTTCCTCAGAAATGCATATTCATACATGCTATGTTAAACACCATTTTGAATTGAGAGATTAGGAGGTACAAAAGTAACCTAACAACTAGAGACCTGAATAGCAATATCAGGAGGAAGAAAATTCAGGTAGTCAGAGAACCTATCCATGAGTAAACACGGCACACCTGAGAAGCAAAGACAGCTAATACAGAGGCTTAATGTTAAAGGACGTAGAGAATGGTAAAAATGAAGTCTGGCAAAAGCCAGACCATTCAGAGACAGACAAGGTTAAACAGTTGGAATTTCATTGACTGGGATGGGACATTTTATTTATTTATTTATTTAGTTAGTTAGTTAGTTGGTCATAGGGCTTGAACTCAAGGCCTAGGTGTTGTCCCTGAGCTCTTATGTTCATGGCTAGTGTTCTACCACTTTGAGCTGCAGCACCACTTCCTGGGAGGAGAAATGATACAGAGTAGAAGTTAAATGATAAATCAAAATCAGGTCTATTTATTTGGGTCAGTTGGATTACCATTTTATTAATCTTAATCTTCTCTATATTTATCTCCTATTATTACTCTGGACACAAATTATTCACCATTTCCCAAATCACACCAAGGTTTCTCTTTATCTTTGTTTATGAAGGACTTCTTTTGTCTCTTACCTCATGTCCAAATTCTAGTTAGCATCAAAATGAAGCCTAATATGCTATCTACTCCATAAATCTTTCACTAGTTCCCATGGCCGATCTCTCCTGTCTATGAACTTCTACAACATTTAACACATTAATAGGTCACATTCTATCTTCATGAAGCAGGATTGGGATAATGCTTATGAAAAGCAAGCAGCAAGATAATAAAAACTAGCTAATTACTTGTATTTAGGTGATAGTCATATATTGTCTAACCTTCTTGAGGACTCTTTTATAACTAGGTAACCCATAGTTCCTGACAGGAAGAAAGGAAGAGAAAGAGGGAGGAGAAGAGGGAGAGGGGGGAGAAGGAAAGAAAGAGGAAGAGTAAGGAGGAAGAGGAGGAGGAAGGTTGAGAGAGAGAGACACAGAGATGGGATGAAAAATTAAATTGTGGAGAAAACATGAAATAGGTAAAGGCATAGAAATCAATAAAATTCAGGGATAGTGCTTCTTTGGTGTCAAATATTATTCTTTCATGTTTATTTCATCGTATCACAATTAAAAATGTGTCATTTATATTCAGTCACAATCAACCTGAGTGTCCTTTACTTCATAGGTCACCGATCTCATTGTCTTTGCTTCATTTTCCTTTTTCCCTAGACCTCTAAAATGAAGGACCCCAGGACTCAGTTCTTAAACCATTTCTCTACACAATTACTCTTCCTAGGAAATCTTATCCAGCTTCATGGCTTTAAATATCATTTATAAGCTAACCAGTCTTAAATCTATTTTTCTAGCCCTCGCCTCTTATTTGGAACTACAGATTCACATATGAAACTGCCTGCTTAATGTCTCTAGTTGTATACCATTGGCAACTGAAATTCAACCTGCTCAAAATAAAATTCATTATATCACACCCCAGACCCATTCAAACCCAGCTTTTCTACTTACATAAAATTAGACTGAGTCATCCTCATTATTCAAGCACAAATCTAATAGCAGATTTCCTTACTTCAAACTGTATAACCAAATCACATTCAAAGCACATCATTTCTACCTTAAACTTTAAAGTTTAGTTTAGTTCCAAGGCAAACCATTTCTCTCGAACTCCAATCCTACTATTTCATTGCTGTCAGGATCACCTTTTGCCTAGACTGTTGCAAAAGTCTCCTAGTCTTCCACGCCTCTTCCTACCTGTAGACAATTCTCCACTCAGCAGCCAGAGACCCAAATTATGTTATACCCATCTTCTAAACCTTGGAGCGTTTTGCATCTCACTTAGAATAACTTCAAAATATCCTAACATGGTCATTAGTCTCCATCTGAGCTGATCCCTAACTTCCTCTAACTGAATCTTCTACCTCTTTGCACCTTACTCTTGTCATACTATCCTTGTTGCTATTAGTTACATCATTACTTCCTCTAGGCCTGTCAACTCTCCAGGGTCTTCAGTCAGTCAAGATAAGCAAAGCAACCCTGAGGATAGATATAATAGATTATCCTTCTTTTGTTTCTCAACAGCTAACTCAACAAATGGCATTTAGTGGAACTCAAAGATGTACTATGAAGCAAGACTACACTGTGATATAGTTTCTGGAACATCTAATGCTATCTTATCTAATTTCATAGAAGTGCTTTGTTTAATGCTAGCTCTTCCAGTCAGACAACTTCTGATATTTTGTATCTGGCTCCAGGTATCACATAATAAGATATATGAGATATAATCTCAATTGCTGTACTTCAGGTAAATGATATATTTTGGAAGGGTAAACCCAGGATGGTGAAAGGCAGAATTTGTGAGTAACTATTATAGGACTTGAGAATCTTTAATGAATTCTAGAAGAATTCATAATACAGGAAAAGCTCTCTCCAAATAGCTAAAATTCTGCCACCTGAAACATGGGCTCAAGTTTATTCTGCAGAAGAAAGAACCAAGAGTAGGAAGTTTCAGAGAGGAAACTTGTTGTAAGTGTAAGGAAACATTGCCCAATAGTTCTTTGGAAATCTTGTGTTTGGCAAAGTACTCCAAGTTCCTTGTGACTTACCATACTCAGTCTTTAATAGAAAATATGATGAAAAGCAGAGTATGCTACATTTCCCATATGTATTTGTCCATAAACATTTTTATTCACAAACAGTATTAATACCTCTTACAACAAACTTCATAAAATGGTTTGGGTTAAAAATGAACAGATCATCTTCTAAAGGAGTAAGGCTAGGTTAAAACATCAATGTACCTGCAGAAACTCAGTAGTGTTGTTACTGCTTGTGCACTTTTGGTCTTTAAACCTTGGTCATTAGAAATAAAATATATAAAGCTTGGAGTGGGGGAAAACAAATTCTCGTACCTGTTACACTATTAGCAATACGAGACTTAACAGCACTGTTCTGAATTAGATTAACAAAGGAAGACAAATGGAAGTAAGGCTCTCATGTAGGGAGTCTGGGCATTTTTTTCCTGTTAGCAACACATTGCACAATTGTGCCAAGCTCTGTCCTCTTAATTCACTCATTACATGCTAGGTAATGTCTCCCAACGTTTTTTATTCACATATACAGATATCCCTCAGCCTGTACTCCTCACTCTCACACGGATTTTAATAGGATCCTAATGCAGGATAATTCTGTTGTATTGAAAACTACCATTTAGAGCCTTAAACTTAGAGCATTAGTAGTATCCTTTTGGAATAAACAGGAGATTTCCAAGACTAAAGGAAGAAATGGCCATTAAAAACTATGGGAAAAGTAAGCAGGAAAACATTGCAAAACCAATCTACTTTGAGGCTCACTGGAAGAATGTAAAAAGGAAGCTGAACTCTTGAGAGTACTTTGTTATTGAAGAATTGTTGCAATAAGCAAGATCAAAAATGTAATAATAATAATAAAGCTGCCTTGGCAATACTGAAAAGCCTGGTTGCAAAATTATAGTTACTGTCTTACAAAGCTGCCCACAGAAGGGTATACCAGGACAGAAATATCATAGTTCCTTGCATTGAAGAAAAATGAATGGCTTGTGAAGAGTTCTACAATTTATATTGCTCTTATTCACTACAACTATGTTTACTCTCTTTAATATGGTTTTCAAGATGTATCAGTGTTGAAAGAGGTGTTTAGGTGAGTAGATAAAATACTGTAGGAATCAGAAAAGCATATCTTCTCTGTGTTAATAAAAGTACTCTGTCTTATACTATCTAAGATCATACCAGACTTAAATAGCTGACAAGACAGACCCTGGACCTGATCATACCATACATATTATTCTTGAAGTCTTGTGAAAAACACAATAATATTGGTAGTAAAGAAACTTGAAATAGCACATCTCTTACCCTGCATTTTTGCTTCTAAACCAGTACCTCTGAAAGTAGACTTGTCAGTTCTAAGTGGTAAGAATTTGGGCAGGCAGTAATCTCCTATAACCTTGCATATGGAATGAGACTTATCTCAATTATGCATTATGTTTTCATGGCCATTTGGAGACATCAGGCCAGCTTGAGCAACTTCATGCAAGGTTTATTGAGTTCATTGCTATCCAGGAAAACACAGAATCATGGAGATAAACCTAGTTTCAGAATTGTCTCTGTCATGAAAGAATGATGAAGGCTATAAATTCAGGTATGATACTACCTCTCTATGAGCTTTCTCCTACTCAGTAGGAGAAAAAAATGGTTGAAGATAAATGATGGTTGAGATCAAGGCCAGGAATTGAGGTCAGTCCAGGGAGTCATCAGAGCTTTGTACTCTTGGTCTCTAGGTTGATCAAGCTTCCTTGGCTATGAGGAATCTGCTTTTTTGCTAGCCCATGAATATCCTCTGACTTTACAGGAACATAGTAGTAGGCCATGATGGAGAAGATCAAACAGACCACCAGCAGGAGACAAGAAAACAAAACAAACTCAGCCCACTGTAGAGAGAGATAAACACAAGAGAAGATCATGGAGAAACCTGAAACGAAAGAGATCTTTAAGAGTCAGGACTCAGGAATGGGTTGACAAAAGACCATCTGTGCGGTCTCTTTCCTAGAAGAACAATGGGTTCAGTGGTTTCATTCTCACCTAAGTGTATGATGGTCATCAAGTCTGTGTATCTAACCCCCAACGTGTCATTAAAACTGAGCTAGGGATGTGGGAGGCAGAGAGATGAGGAAAATGAAGACAAGGAAGTTGGACGGAAGACTTCAAGTAGACACAAGTTCAACATTTGTTTCTCTCAAATCCATACCTGTACAAGGCCACTGAACTGTGCCACAACAAGCACGATGATATTCCCGATGGCAACTGTCAACAACCAGGCTGCCTGGAGTACAGATTTCATGCTAGATGGAGCCTAGGAAGAATACAAGTTTATAAGCAAATAAAGCAACTCTATCACCCTACCTCCCCATGGGTCTATCCAAAAATCTTCTCCCACAATGTTTCCAAATTCCAACTGCCACCACTAAGTTCAGCTGCCATATTGATTCAGGTGTGGCAATAATGTTAACGAGAATAATGTAGAGCCCCAAACAGCAGACTCTTAAGCTGCGATCCTACAAGTGATGACTATTTGGGGTCATATATAAGGAAACCGAAGCCAAAATCAATGGAGTACTTAGCTAAAAGTCTCAGGTCTACCATAAGGTAGTACAAAATTAAAACTCACTATTCTTTAAGCAGTGTGTAGACATTTACCTTCCACTTACAAACTCTTACCTGAGAATAAGAAAACTCAAGTCCTGTGACAGAGAACATGACCTCAGCTGCTGTAACCAGGGCATATTGTGGTAGTTGCCATGCAATGGACAGTTTGTTGGCTGGGAAGTCTTCTGTCTTCCAAGCCTCAAATCCTTGACCAGTGACCTTAGTGAGGGAAAGAGAAAGGGCTTCTCAGAAAGTTCCAAGTAAGCACTACTAACTACAGCATTTCATGATCTATACCCACTCCTAGTTTTATTTATTTTTTTTATTTTCTACATTCAAGGGACTGATAATTTCTATTGAACTCCAGCATTTTAGAATTGCCTTTGTATCAGTCAGTTACATTAAAAGTCCTTGAGATTATGGTCTTGGATGTACAAATACCCTTGACTTTCTAAGTCAAAAGAATTGAAAATAGTGAGAAAAAAGAATCTTACTTTGGGGTGGGAAGGTGGTTCAGTGGTAGAGCGCTTGCCTTGCATGCATGAGGCCCTGGGTTCTATTCCTCAGAACCATATAAGCAGAATAGGCTGGAAGTGGCGCTGTGGTTCAAGTGGTAGAGCACTAGCCTTGAACTGAAGAACTCAGGGACAGTGCTCTGGCTCAGAGTTCAAGCCCCCAACCTCTCCTCTCCCCCCCAAAAGTATCTTACTTTGCTTTAGTTGAAAGGCATACTAAAACCTAATCTGTGTTTTGTCAGTATAAGAAAACTATAACCTCAGTTTCTAAATCAATCAAGGTCCAGATGCCAGTGCTAAAAGGCAGGTAAAGCACATAGGAATGATAAGGGAATGGGAATGATAAGGACTACTAGAAAGCACAGGTCCCATCTAAAGGTAAAAACTGCACCAACAGTAATATTGTAGCATTGCTTACAAAATTTTCTGCCTTCAATTCCAAGGTAAGTTAGTAATCAAAATTCTTTGGCAAAATCTCTCCAATTTTAAATACCAGTAATTGATTCTTTTATTAATGTTGTCAATGCCTCATAAGCCAAACAAGTGCAGACTATGAAAGAAGTTGAGATTCTAAGCCCCTAATATATGACTTATACTCTGGAAGCTTATTAAATCATGTATTCAAAAACATCTGTGACCTCTCTCTTAAACAGCATATGAGAAATAAAACAAACTAAAAGTAGAATAATACCAATAATAAATACCAATTAAAATGGGTTGAACTGTGCCCTTCACAACTCATGTATTTAAATTTTCCCACTACCTAATGAGAATGTGACCTTATTTGGAAATGCATTTAATATAGATAGGACTAGTCAAATTATATGGGGTTAGGATGAGCTTAATCCAGTACGAGAGATATTCTTACATAAAAAAAGGAAAATCTGGACACAGATAAGCCCATAGAGCAAATTTCACAGAAGATAAAAATCATTAAGCTGGTTATACTACACACTAAGAAATATCAAATTTTCAGCAAACCACTAGAAACAACCAGGGTATAATCCCAACTACATGGGCTTAGTTAGGAAAATCACTGTCTAAGGCTGGCCCTGGGCAAAAAATGTACAATACCCTATCCGTTTTTGTTTAAAGTAAAAAAAATGGCTGATGGTATGACTCAAGTGGTAGAGTGCCTGCCAAGCAAATGAGGCCCTGAGTCCAAACCCCAGTACAGCAACCCTAGCCCATTAAGCATCCGAAGCTGTAGAAGATACAAATAACAGATTCTTCCACATAGCTCTCAGAATGAACCATCTATATATACATCTTAACCTCAGACTTCTAGCCTTATTTTATTATGACTTAATGAATTTGTGTTTTGTAAGCTATTCAGCTTGTGATATTTTGTTACAGTAACCCTATTTCTAGGGTTAGCAAGTCTCTTTGCCTTTTGTCATTGCCACATGTATATATGTGTGTGCATGAGGTATACACATTGTGTGTTGCATGTGTGTTATGTGTGTATATATGTATATGTGTGTGTATGTGTAAAGAAAAAGAGGAAGAGACAAACAAAAGGGGAAGGGTAACTGTGAGTTACTTACATTTTTAATAACAACAAGGTATGCTGTACCAAAGTCCAAGAGACCCAAATCCAGAAAAAAGTCCTTATCTTCTGTTTTACAATGCACTTCAGGGTATCTAGAATGGAATGTGTTTAACTTAGAATAAGCAGCATGGTTTGGAAAAACACTCCCATCTCCAGACAATAGTGGTCTTAGCTCTCTACTGATGGTGAAGAAAGCAATGAAGCCACCATACCTCCTTAAAAAATTATTTTTGTGTGAGTCATTTTAATTTCTACTCAGATCTGAAATCCTTATTCAGGTGTTGTTTTTAAAATACTAAACCTGAATAAAGTCCTGGTGCTTGGACTCAGAGCCTGGGTACTGACCCTGAGCATTTGTGCTACAGCTCTACTTCTCCCTTTTTTAGTAGTTTATTAGAGATGTGAGTCCCATAGTCTTTCCTGCCTGTGCTGGCTTCAAACCACAATCCTCAGATCTCAGCCTCCTGAGGATTACAGGTGTGAGCCACCAGTACCAGGCTGAATAAAGAAATCTTTATGTAAATCTTATGATTAGAGGGACAGCATATAACAGGGAACCTAAAAGGTTGTGTTCTAAATAATGAGTTGCCGGTTGATGGGTACCAAAAAGCCAGAATCCTTAATAAAATTTGTGAACCTCAGAGAGCTGGGCCAAATTAACTACACAGCATGGCCATCACAATTTAAATGACCTCAATATATCTGTACAGAAAAAAGATGGGAGTGAGGGAAGGAAGCTAGAAACTAACCCAGATATTCCTAAATCTCCCCCCCCACCCCCCCCGCAACACACATAGAGTAGCATTTTAAAAAAATGTCAATGAAAGTAAAATGTCTATGGGGCAATGTTCTTACTCTCCTCTTGGCACAGTTCTGTAAGCCGACACACCATATTCTTCACCAACATTGAGAAGAATATCTGTACCCAGGGAGATGTTGACATCTTTATGCAATGTGTTAATGAACCTGAGGGTAGAGAAAATTACTTACACATCAGAAAAACAAAAGGGGATAGGGGTATTTTTCTGTGTTATCACTGTATCCCCTAGTACCAAGTAAAACAAGAATGTCTGGCATGTCAAAGGTACATGATAAATAGTTAACTGAACAAATGAGTGAACTTACCTGTAATCAGTAATCAGTAGTCTTAACTTTCTTAAACTGAGTTTTTTTTCTAGAATATCCACTTGTTATCTGTCACATCCTTACCATATCACTTGCTGGATGGATGTTACCATCATCTGACTTACTAACCGCTGCCCTCCTCCCTCCCCCAGGCTCATCCAATTTCTTTCTGTCTTAATGGTAGACTTAATCAATAAGAATTTACTTTTTAAAAAGTAACAAATCATGTTTATGTGAAGGTATAACTGTATTTACATTAGAGTGATATCTTATTCTCATAAATGAAGTTCAGTTTGACTCATGTAAAATTTAGGTTTCTGGTCCATAGTAGGTTACCATTGTTTGAGGATCCAGAAATCTTGGACCATTCCACATCTACTTTTATAGTCTTCTGAACTTCAGTCTCTAGATTATCAACTTGTGATGGGTTTTCTGTTACATTACTGTTTTGATAGTCTCTGGCCTAGAGAAGAAGAAGGTAGTTCGCTCTGGAGTCTTATGTCCTGGGCTTCAGATCAAATAACTCTTCTATAGGCCTGCGCTCTCAAGCCTCATACTTTATACTTATACTGAGTTGTTTGCCTCTTCTGAAGCATAATCCAAATGGAAGTTATTATGGCTGTTGTACTCATCAGCAAATTCCACACTTTATGAAAAGTTGTCTTCTAAAATGTTTGTCTCAACAGCCTGATGTTGATGGACAAATAGTTTAATCTGTCTTTTTAATCTGTCTTTTTATGTCTATTCCCTGACACAGAGGGCAAGGGATCTCTTCAGTGCTCCATCTGTGTATCTGTCCTGGTCATCTGATGAGACCCTTAGCCCTATCTGAATTCAAATTCCAAGGCTTTTAATTCCAAATGTGATCTCTGCCATGATGACTCTACAGCTTTATATTAAAACTATACTTTATAAGATAGGCATCAACCACCAAGGGGGGAATAGCTGATCATTTCTGAATTTCTTTCCAGTGAGGAATATATTCCTGGGAAATATAAGTTCATCTTCAAGCCCCACAGAAGAAAGAACACCTATCTAATTCTCGCTGTCTTAGAAAATGCCTTCAGATACTAGCACCTCTGACTTTCTAAGACCGATAATTCCTGCTCAGAGGAAATAGAATGTGAGGTTTCTTTATGTGAAACCCAAAGATGAGAAAAGACTCAGGACTGAAGTGACTGGAGTGGCTTGGGGTCTCCTTAACATACAAACCTGATGGCTGTCATCCCACTAGTGGTTTTGTTTGCTACATTCTTTACCTACAAGAAAGAAGTAAAAAAATCAATGAAGAGTGGACCAAAAGGAATCATAATTAGAATATTTGACCATCAGATCCTAAGACTTTGAGATGAGAACTTAGAATTAAGGCAATCCTTCAACATACCATCTTGCTGGAAATATTTTTCCCATTTTCATGAATGATCAAACTATAGCAATTCTTCTCCTCCATAGGAAGCTTAGTGTGAACAGACATATTGTGATATTTCAGGTAGAAGTGGAAATCCTGGCTTTTTGTGTTCAGATGCAGTTTGGAATAATGTGTTGATTCCTGTAGAATGAAGAACCTGTTATACTCACTTTCTATCCTAATTTGAACATCACAATCTTTTAGCATCTCCGGGTGGGTGACATTAGCAGACACTGTGATTTCTGTCTTTAAATAGGTTATACCACTCTAGGAATTTACTGCAGAAAATACATGCATGTATATAGATTTATGAGTGAGCATTTCATTATAGGATTGTGTATAATAACTGAAAATTTACATATCTATAGAAAATGTTTAAACAAACTATTTCTATAGGATGAAATATCGTATACTCACTAAAATTATGGCAGAAAAGGTTATCAAGGACATGGGAAGATTATAATTCATGTTAAGAAAAAAATCAAGGTCAACATAGCAGGCCCATAACTCACCTGAAAGGGTTTGATGGACTCCATCAATAATGAGTTATTTCTATTTCCTAGCACAGTCACCTGTACCTCATCTTCTGCCAGGTTCAAGACTTGGAGGAAAACTTCCTGGGAACCAGGCTGGGGTTGGGTCATTCCCTTAGGACAGATAACATGTATTGGAATCATCATACAGTTACTGCTGACTGGATTCTTCAAGTCCAATGAGAGCACATATCTTAGTCCTGTTTCTGACAGGCAAGCTCTTCTAGCCAAGAGAACACATCTTTCTCTCTCTGAAAAGTATCTGGCTTAGAAAAATCTAAAAGCAGTTTGGGGAAACACCATCTCTAAGCAAAAAGTACCAATGCTAGGCAATAAATCCCATGCTGTTTTATATATATGCCCATATATATGCACATATATACATACATATGATATTTTTATTGTGAAAATACTGTACAGAGGGGTTACAATTACATGGGCAAGATGATGAGTACATTTCTTATCAAGCATTGTAGCCTCCTCCTTT